GGAGAGACAAAACACCAACCTACGATATAATGCAATCTCGGTTTAAGTCACTCACTGATACAACAATGTACTCAACAGTACTTGACTATTCTCCCCAACATTCATTCTCAGGTGGCATGGAAGATTTGTGTGACAAAGGCAATTAGAAAACTAGTGAATGATTCAAGTTATGGTAGATTTTATTTATTACGTTTAATAGTAATGAGAATAACACATTGCATTAATCTCATGCTCCCTAGTTACGTCCTGAGGTAGGCAAGCAGGTATTATTTTAGAGATGAGAAAATCAAGTGACAGTGCTGTGACTTGCTGAACATTACAATGCTACTTAGTGACACTGCCAAGGATTCTCCTAATCCCAGGTTCTGCATCTTTCTACAACATCACTTCAACTATAATGAATATACTTTAAAAAAATCAATTTAACAACAAAGTTCTACATGTCCTGCATCTATATTCCTCACAACGCAAGAAATTCAGCTTCATTTTAGAAGATTCTACATATTTTAAAGGAGCAATTGGATGTTTATCATATTAATTCATTATTTCATTACTTTATTGGCTAAATCTAAGGGAGATTTTTACTATATTCTATTAGCACAATGACACAAAATAACATAACTTACTTTTACCATCTATATATACACATGCAATTTTAAAAGTACAGAAAAGCTGTCACCTCTCACATTTACATAGTGATGTTAAACATATCGTCTCTGGAAAACAATTCTATATTTTAAGAACCAGAACTAAACATACTGTTTCTATCTGATTGAATGGCAAGATCCTTTTAGATTTCTCTAAATAATAGAAAAAGGACACTCTATGTGGAGACACCCATGTGTGTCTGTTGTATATACCTTAACAAAAAAATTTTAAAGATATATTAATATATGAAAAAAGTTGTTCTAAATCTTAAATATTTTTGCTTAAATGCATTTCACAGATTGTTTCAACTACCACTATTTTAGCGACTGGTTAAGTAGTATGGAAAAACCAGTTTCTAAAAAACATAAAATAACAAATGGTTTAATCTGAATACAATGGCACCTAATTTACCTATGTGAAAATTATACAGTGAGCCTAGACTTTTAACTAGGTAACTGAATTAAATTATAGGTCATGTCTACTCTGTAGAAATTAAATCCTCATGAAAATAATTTTAAAATCCCAAACTAATATTCTGATTAAACATCCAAGCAATGAACTAACCACTCCAAACAACATAATTCATTTAAATACTTATGTTGTGAAAATGTTTATCCCTTCAGATAGAATTACAAAACTGCTGAATGATTCTGTTTCTCTCAGCGAGCTAAATATGCCCCATGAACATCCAAAAAGGTAGTAAAGACACGCTCAAAAATGCTTCAGGGGTAACCTCAGGTGGGTAGTGGGATCCTCTTGCTGAGAACAACAGTTACTCAGGGACAAACAGGTCACAAGGAGAGAGGGGAGGACCATCTTTAAAAGCAAACAGTAATAATGATTTTAAAAAACCACTACTACAAAAAAAAAGCCCAGGCCCAGATGGCTTCACTGATGAGTTCAACCAAATATTTAAAAAAGAATTAATACCAATTCTTCACAAACTCTTCCAAAAATAGAACACTTTCTAACTCTTTCTATGAGGTCAGTATTATCTTGATATCAAAATCAGACAAAGACATTACAAGAAAAGTACAAATCAGTATCAATTAGACACAAAAACCCTCAGGCAAAAGGCTAGCAAACCAAATCCAAAACACATAAAAAAGATTATCCACACTGACAAAGTAGGATTTATTCCAGGAATACAAGCTTGGTTTAATATCCAAATCAATTAATGTAAAAAATAATAGTAAATACATTAAAAACCTGTATCCTTTAAGGTATTAGTTAAATTTGATACAGGATAAAACCTTTGATTCTTGTGAGTCTTAACCAATATCTAACACTTGATGTTAGCTCAAGGTCATATTAACGGTTTTGCTATTAATAAGTAATGTTTCATTGAACAATGTTAAAAAGCAAACAAAAACTTGCATTTGCTCCCATCATTCCCAGAACAAATCTTGAAAAAGAAGAACAAAGTAGGAGTACTAGCATTTTCCGATTTCAAAATTTACTACAAAGCTATAGTAATCAACACAGTGTCATACCTGCATATAGATCAATGAAATATAATTGAGAATCCAGAAACAAACCCTCGTATTTGATTTTCAGTAAGGTCAATCGATTTTCAGTAAGGGTGACAAAACAATTCAATGGGGAAACAATAGTTTTTTCAACAAATGCTGCTGGGACAACTGGATATCCACATGTAAAAGAATGAGGCTGGACCTCTATCTCATACCATATATGAAAACTGCCTCAAACTGGATCAAAGACCTAAATGTAAGAGCAAAAGCTATAAAACTCTTAGGAGAAAACTTGGGTGTAATTCTTTATGACCTTGAATTAGCAATAGCTTCTTAGGTATATACAAGAGAAGTGAAAAATATGACCATATAAAAACTTTCACATGCATATTCATAGCAGCATTGTTCATAAAAGCCAAAAATGGAAGCAATCCAAACGCCCATCAAATGATGAATGGATTGAAAAGAAATGTGGTACAGGCATACCTCACATTTTCGTGCTTTGCAGATACTGCATTTTTTACAAGACTTTCCACCAGCAAAAAGATTACAACTCACCGAAGGCTCAGATGATGGTTACCATTTTTTAGCAATAAAGTATTTTTTAATTAAGGTACGTACATTTTTTTAGACATAATGCTATTGCACACTTAGACTACAGTATAGTGTAATCATAACTTTTATATGACTGGGCAACCAAAGAATTCGTGTGACTCGCTTTACTGCAATATTTGCTTTACTGCAGTGGTCTGGAACTGAACACCCCGAGGTATGCCTGTATACCCACACAATGGAAAATCATTTGGCAATAAAAAAGAATAAACTACTGATACATGATACAATATGGATGAATCTTGAAAACAATAAGCCAACTGAAAGAAGCCAGTCACAAAAGACCACATGTTGTATGATTTTGTTTATATGAAATGTCCACAATAGGCAAATCTAGAGACAGAAAGTAGAAAGTAGTTGCCCAGAGCTGGGGGGGATGGGGGAAGTGAAGAGGGAGTGCTAAAGGATACAAGGTTTCTGTTACAGGGTGACGAAAATGTTCTACAATCAGACTGTGATGGCTGCATAACTCTGTAAACAGATGAACAACGGGAGAACCGTACTCTTTAGATGGTCTGTGAATTATGTCTCAATAAAGCAGCTACCCAAAAAAAAGAAGAAATAAAATAGCGAAGAACTTGTCTCAAAAGAGAAGATTTAAGAGAACAGAGATTATATTCCTATTTGGAAAACAAAAATCTATAGTATGACTACTTTGCCAAGATACTCATTATTCTCTTATCTTTTTAAAGGATACATGAGGAAGGAGAAGATCTTTTGTTTTTTGTCCTTTTCTTCATTTCTTAAAGAACTCATAATTTTTTGAGTATCCAAACATTAGTTACTTTTTGTCCTTCAATTCTTCTTGAAAACCACAGGTTTTTGAGTATGCAGCTATCTAGCTAAAAATTATGCAATACATTCTGGATACTGTTAGGTGTCCGTTATCTATGAAACGAGGCACATACGAAGAAAGAACACCAATTCAAAGTTTAAAGTCTGAGAGCTCTTCCCTTTTCCCTACTTCCATATGTAGACATGATGCTTATCCATTCTGTGCCTCAGTCTCCTCTTCTAAAAATGGAGCAATATTTGCATTCCCCATGACAAAATTAGTGCTATAAAATTATAGTTTTCTTAATACCCCCAAATACTGTCCAGATTACCATAAGATTCAAAAACAGGACAGCAGCTATGAGGTCCATAACTCCAAATCACCTAGATCTAGAAGGGCAATAAGAAATCCTTCTGGTTGAGTCAAAAATGTTGGTCTGGTGCCTTAAAGAGATACTGAAGTACCATTTACAAATAATTAGGAAAGGTATACAAAAAGATGGGAATTAAACTAAAATGCATAAAATCAGAAAATGATCAAAATATTTAAAATCATCTAAAATGTTAAATCCATACAAAGACGTTATCCTTCAGATAAGTATGAAACACCATGGGACGTTCTATGTTACTTTTTTAAAAATTAGAACAAGCTTCAAAGTTGTTAAATTTAGGTTCCTTTGCTAGTTATCCTGGGATGTCTAGCAAAACAACATGATTGATTATTACTACTTTGTCAGGATTATAACAACTCAAGAGTGGAACAGGTATAGAGTTCTAACCCTAATTCTCAAATCACTTAGAACATGCCCGCCTCTGAAAATTCAAATATATAGTTAGTTGATAAAAACACCAGGCTTAGGTTTAACTATGGTATTTCCTATAATTAATTATGGTATTTCCATTCGTTTTATCAGTTTGTAAGAAAGCTGAGTTTAAGACTACACGACAGGATGTTTCCAAATCCTGTATAAGCATTCATAATGGCTCCTGTGCCTTGAATCAAGGAAAGTATCCATTTCTTGTTAAAATCTAAAACTCACCATACTTTATAATGCTTCAAATACAGAGTAGCATCTCTCTTTGAAAGCATGGTTCCAATCTGCAACGTACAGTGGCATTTTTCCTTATTCTGACAATTTGATTAAAATTTACACAGAGCTAAAGGGCTCAGGCTGAAGAAAAGTGCTTTTTTTTTTTGTGAGGAAGATCAGCCCTGAGCTGCCAATGCCAATCCTCCTCTTTTTTTGCTGAGGAAGACTGGCCCTGGGCTAACATCTGTGCCCATCTTCCTCCACTTTATTAGGGACGCCGCCACAGCACGGCTTGACAAGCCGTGCATTGGTGTGCACCCGGGATCCGAACCGGCAAACCCTGGGCCGTCGCAGCGGAGCGTGCACACCCAACCGCTTGCGCCACCGGGCCGGCCCCTGAAAAGTGCTTTCAATATCTAAAACTCTACAGCAATTACTTTTCCAACAGAGTAACTGTACTTACATCAATATCCTCTTGCGTAAAAGTTTCTGGATCTTCTCCCATCATGTTGGCTAAATGTCTCTTTCCTATGTTGAACTCTTCAATCTGCTTTTTAATAAAATCCACTGTGTAAGTTTCACGTCTCAAGGCTGCAACATTTTTCTTTGTTGTTACAACTGTGGTATGTCTTAGCCTTAAGATCTAGCAGAAAATATAAATGGAAAGAAAAGATTTTAAATTTAACAATGATCTTATAGGCCACTGTCTCTAAACAAAACACGATATTCAAACAGTTTTCTCTGTATTATAGTACTCAGTTGGCAGGAGTCTGGAAACAAGGTGAAAGATCTATTAAGAAAGCTGTTAGAAATTGTCCCCTGCTCAAAAGCTCGCTTTTAAAAGCCTATACTTACAAAGCAGTTTAAACTACCAGCATTTTAACAAATTGAAAATAAAAATACTTTTAAGTGATATGCCACTTCCTTATCTACTACCAACAACCATATTTGATAGTGAGTGGTCAATGTCAGCTAGTTGTGATATTTGACACACATGGAAAGAAAAGTAGAATGTCACTCCCTTAAAAAGAGGCAAATGTACATGTAGACAGAAACCAGCAAGCAAATGATATGGGAGTCAAGGGGCACATACCTAGAGTCAAGGGGCACATACCTGAGAACAGTATCCTTAGCCTAGAGGTATCACCTTGTTTGAGGGTACAAATACAGCCTATCTTTAAAAGCCTTAAAATAATAGGTTCAGCTTAGCTTGAGACTTTATTCCACCGTCTTATTTTAAGCTGACACAATGAAGAAAGTGCTTCACTCAACATTGAGAAGATTTCTTACTACTAATTCGGTTCAACAGGCTAACTGTAGAAATAAGGGCTTTCACATCCTTTTAAACTATCAGTAAGGATATCACACTTGCTGCTGTTGATACTTTGTATTCTGTGGCCCTAGGAATTTCCCCCCAAGACATTAATATTTCACCTGCAATAAAGGGTGTTAAAGAACCAGAAAAATGTTTTCAAATGATCATTCAGCTGCATTCAATTAGCTGGATATAACTAGAACAGATCTTTCTGGTACTGGCTTTTCTCAAAATCTTAAATCTGTGGTTCTCAACCATCAACTCTGTCTCAACAATTTTAAACACTCTTAAGCAATACTCAGGCTTTAAGAGCTACAATTCTTAGTAACTCCTTCACTTCCCTTCTCATAAACATAAAAATTCCTTTCACATACCACCACCACCACCATCTCTCCCTCATCCATTCCCTACCCTTTTGAGAATCAGAGATTCAAATAACTCTACAGTAATTTGTCACCACAGCTACAAGAGAAAATGGGAGAAAATTACAGGACAAATAATACTCAATAGTACAAATTATGTTCTTAAACTCTCACAAATTAAAATAGTGATAAAACAATTCCTTGCTACTTTTTAACAAGTAAGAAAGGGCAATTTAAAATTCCATGAAACTTTATAGTTCATTCTTCCTCAAGAGAGCTCAGAGGAGTGTCTCCACATTATTAATCAACAATTATATTTTCTTACTATGCATTATAAAGATACAGTGTCACTATCAATGAGTACAAACATGACCAAAACTTGCTCATGTATAATCAGCCTGCCCTTTCCTATAGGCGGAGCCTGCTTTTACACCCCTGCTACCTCTCCCCACAGCCAAGAACCACCAGCACCAACTCTCCCATTGCAGTATTTTTTTACCATCTTATGTTTTTATCTTTTCCAGGCTTTAGTTTTTATTTTTTATGATTCCCTATCTTCTTTGAACAATGGAAAATGTTGCTTCTTAGATTCAAAGTGAATAGAAAATGCTTTTGTGCCCCAAGAATCATGGCAAAGGTATGAATTTGGGAGAGAAACATAGCAGTCATACAGTAGAGGTAATTCTCCCAAATGTTCCATTGCCAAAAGATGATTACACTGCTGGTTTTGTAAATAATACGACTAACTGTTTTTGTCTATAGCTAAAACAATCTATTTATAATCCAAGTGAACCCACTACACTTCCCACCCATCACCAACTGCAGCCCTCAGGAGAAATGAGTCTGCCAGTGAATATGGCTCCATTCACTGAAGTAACAAATTCTAGAGGAAGAGCAAGACCAGTGAGGAAAGAGAAGAATTCAATTTTGGGCATGACGAATTTGAGATGCTTGATGGACATCTCAGGAGAGGTGGTGAGGAGGCAGATGGCTCTGTGAGTCACACAAGAGAGATCTAAGCTAGAGATACAGTCTGTTAATAATCAGCATTGGACATGATGTTGACACCATCAGAATAAGGGAAATAGCGGGCATTAGGGTTAGAATGAGAAACATCTCTTCTATGCAAAGCAACAAAACAGTCTGTGAGGGAGAGTAGGCAGAAAGGTAAGGTTAGTTATGTCTTATGGCCATTATTTTCTTTGTGAAATAGGACATGAGATGGTCTGCAGAGTAAGGGGTGATAAGGCTGATGGACTAAATACTTCAAGAGCAATGATACAGTGGTTATAAAATGTAGACATAAAAATTAAAGGAAAAAAATCTAGAAAAAACATTAAGTATCCATTTATACTGGATATGAGCTAGGAGAATACCAAAGAAATAGATAGAAATCTACATCTATACAGTATCTATTTTCTTTGTCAACTATCTTTTCATTTCCTATATATTTCCTTTGTATGTTTTAGTGGTATACTCAATGCACTATTTAGTTCAGGAGAGTTCTATCTTAGGGCAGATTGTACCCTTCAGCATTATAAAGTGTTCCACTCCCACGCAATACTTTTATGTTGAATTTAATTCTATTGGATCATAATACTGGAACCCTTTCAAACTCCTATCTGCATTTCCCTGAAATATCATTGCCCATATTTTTCTGTTAAATTTTGAGTCATTTTAAGTTTTGGGTTTTTTTGACCCAATCTGAGTTTTTTTTAAATACTTGAGAATATCCCATTTAAACGAGTTTTAATAGATATCCTGTCTTATTTTTGATCTTATTTCATCTTTATATTTTTTATGCTTCCTTCCTGTTTTCCTTCTTTTGCTATACGATCTGTAGTTTTTTTCACTTGTCTTTTGATCCGGCAATTTGGACAGTATACGGCCTGCTTTTATTTTACTTGTGATTATCTCTATATGTCTCTGAATAAAATGTTTAAATGTATTTCTCCTAGTAACTTCAGGAAAAAAATATCCACTGAATTCTCACCTATTTATTATCTTCTCTTCGTCCATCACAGTAATTATGTTATTATGTCCTCCATACATATCAGCTTCTCTTCAAGCTTATTTTTTGTCCTTGTCTTCTGCTTTCTTTATGACTTGTAAACTTTTACTCATGTTCTTTTTCTCCCTTTTCTGCACTGTCATTTGTGCACCCACTCTGAATTTTTAGCTTCTTATATCATTGGTTTATCTTCAAAATTCTTTCCCTAACAGTTTCTTTTAATCATATCTTCCTGTCTTACCCTGTTTCACAGAATTCTCCCTCATTCGATATTTTTTTTAAATGTCCTTGACAATGTGAAGTAGTTATAGGAAAATAACTCTTCCATTTTGTTGAGTAAATATTTCTTTGTACTTTCTTCATCTCTCTCTTCTGCATTGTTCCTTTCCTTCTTTAGTTGCTAATACATTTTAGCATCATCTCAAGCAAAAGAGTTGATTAGTGGTTTGAAGACTCATTTCTTCACTTGACGTAAAATTATTCTGAGTCTGTCTATATTCTCTGGAGTTTGTGACATGAGGTGGCAGCTTTCTTAGTCTTAACATAAATGAAGCTTAAAAAATATTTGTAAAATTTTTTATTGTTGTTCATTTAGAAAGCCTCTTTTTTTAATTAACACGTCCCTAATTTGCTATTTTTCATAAAATCTCTTTAGAATCTTTAACATCTTTTTAAAGACATTTGTTCACACTGCTTAAGAATATGACATTCTGAAAATTCATAATATTTATTAAAGTTACAAAGCCATCACAGCATCAGTACCAGACTACTGGATATATTTATTAAACGTTCTGAATTATTCCAGCAATGAATTCACACAAAAATATTTACATTCACAGAAGTCCATTATTCATTAGTACGATCCATTAAGTAAGATGAGGCTGAGTGACAACCAGGTCTTTAGCTAAGAACAGTAAGAATTCCTGGAAAGAATCCACTTTGCCTCTGTTAAGTACAATTCCCAACAAAATTTTCTACAGGTTCTATTTCCAGCTGAAAAGCTGTGATAGAGAATTTTCCTCAGACTTTGTTTTTATGGAATAGTATAGCTACAACTTGACAGATTTGTTTCTTTTTAAAGATAATCAGTGGGTCAGACAACTATAATTTCAATCAAGCACGTTGCCCAAGAAGCAGACACATTCTGACAGAGCAGTGATGTCCCAAATTTGGCCAAATGCCAGGGCTACACACTTCTTGAAGGGTATTACAGGAGTACAGAGGAGTTTCGTTTTTGTTCAACCGGATAAAAATGGAACAAAGAAGAATCTGCTGCTCATTTGAATAGAAAAGGCAAAAAAAAAAATACTTGGAGGAATAAAAGAAAAGGTAAAGACTGAAGTCAGATTAGAGAAAATGTGGATAGCAAGAAACAATATAAGGACTCCAAGAGAGTGATTATAGTAACCTTTTTGAACAGGTTTATACTTCTATCAACTAGAGGTCTCTGGATGCAGAAGAAACTGACTTTGCTTTACTTAAGCAAAAGGGACATTTCTTAGAAGGCTAATAGGGGCCCACAGGACTACACTTGAAGCAGGCAGCGTCCGAAGCATCTTTGGAGCTAAAACGCAGGAACTCCAATGATCCACAGCAAGTTCACTGAAGTCAGAACGTAGCCATTAAGATAAAACGGTATTCCAACCATCCTAGTCTCCCTGCTCAAGACCTCAAGGGAGGGAATATCTAATGGGGCTATCTCGGGTCAGGTGCCCCAGATTATAGTTCCACTGGACTGTGTCCGACGGGCAAGAACTCATTCCTCCTAAGAAAAGTGGGGTGCCATTATGAAGGGGAAATGGATGCTAGGTTAAACAAACAAGGAAATCTACTATACTACTTAAGCAAAATTCACCATTTATATTCATTCCACAAACTGCTATAAATTAAGAGACTTAATATACTTATCCATCAAATATTATATACATGGACCATGTTTGAATCCTGATTTAAAC